TTTCCAGCTTCAGATTTTAGCAGGGAATTTCAATCTGATCAGCTGTCTTTCTGTCATTTCTTATTCTGATTTTCTCAGCTCATGGAAGCAAAAGGCTTCTTCCACCAGGCAGAAGGCAGATGAGCAGCAACAAAACAGGAGCTGATGGACTGATGGATCAACAAAAAAAAATGTGCACATTTCTATTTCTCAATGGCATTTCAAGGTTTGTTAAGCTAACAGGACCCTCCATGGTACTCCTTTTGTCTGAAAAGTATCTTCAAGGTACCTCTTATTGTGAGAGGGCTACAAACATGCTACACACAGGATTAGGAAGCTTCTGTATTGTTGGGGAGGTCCTAGTTACTAGGGTGGCAAAATGAGAATACTATTTGGCTCACAAAACATCACCTGAGTGTACAGATAACAAGACGAGATGCTGCAGAGAAGTGTGTTAACAAGGTAAAGGACTTCTAAAATAAACCTCTTGCCAGCTACTCAAATGATAAAACAGAAAATATAGGAAAACTTTTGAAGGAAGAGCTACTTCGCTGACAAATTACCAACACTAACAAGCACTTCACTGTGATGCTTCAGCATTGTTTTACAGCAGTGTATTAGTAACTTCTTTGGATATCCATTCTGCAGTGAGCCTGTGGTGTGCTCGGGGAGACGGTGTCCCTGAGCCCTCTGCCTGAGACAGGTTTCCTTTCCAAATTATGACTCTTCTTCGAGGGAACAGGTCTCACAGCTCATACTTTAGAAGAGGATTGTCCCAAAAGGCAAAATAATTATGGAAAGTGATTTTTTTGTCAGTGATTAATATTCTGTGGTACTCTACTGCCAACCAAAGTAAGTTTTCTGCTCTTCCCAGGTGAAATGAAGTTGCAGCTAAATAGCTGACTATTTATCTTCTGCATTGGAGAACTGAAATGCACAATTAAAAATCCATTTAAAGACTGCCAAACATCAGTCACTGTAAAATCCTTTCTTTGTGGTTGCGTTCAGACTTCCGCTGAGAAAAAGCAATATTTTAGAGAAGTAAATTAAAGCAATTATCATGAAATACAAAATGGAAAGAAAGCAATGGATGAACTCAGCACCAAGGACAGATTCCAACAGCCACAGGTTGAACCCCAAGCACAGCTCCCATCCAGAGAGCCAGGAGTCTCTGAGAGCATTACTTAGCCTACACTTGCCTACATCACCTATACTTGTATAATCGTCATCTTACTTAAGATAGAATTTTGTACTTAAAAAGTATAGCGTAACTCCAAGATTTTGAAGAACTAATAAAGCTTCTTTTACACTGCAAACAGTTTACTCTGACCATAGAGTACATCTGTGGCTAACAGAAAAAGGAGGATGTAAATAAGGAGTAACTGATAAGGTACACTAGACCCATCCACTCCCTAAGTTTTGCACCTAGCAGAGAACAAAATACAAATTAAATTGTGGGTTATATTTGCTACTTCAGTTTTACTCGCACCAGAATGTTTCACTGCCCTTTTGGATATGGTGCTGGAGATACTGATGGTAGTCCTGGTTCCATGTTCTCGCCTGCCTTGGGAGAGGCCTAATTCAGCATCAAGGCTGCGCAAGCTCATATGCTGTATGGTCACACTCTCCGTGCTGTGGGGAGCAGTCCACTTTGTACATTTATGAGAAGGGGGGCTTCACCCCATTTGTCTTATAGCTCACACAAGCATCCTCACTACTGGACTACAAAACCAATCTTTTTCACTCTGAGCTTTATGTAGCCTATGCCAAAGGGTCTGTATAGCCTACGGAAAAGCTATGTAACCACATGCACACGGTGGAAATGCATCCTACCAAGAAGTTCCATAACAGCTTATCTGGAGCAAGTTCAAGCCTTTGCTCCAAACAGGGCAGAACAAGAGTGATTCGAATCCAGGGTTTGCCATAACCCTGTGTGGAATGTCCTAACCTACTCCAGCTACTCTCCATCACCGATGGGACAGGCTGCCCCACCAAGCCTTCGTTGAACACCTGTCCCAGCCTGTGCACATGAATCCAAGGGAGAATCCATGGGCAGGATCCCCAGCAGAAGGAATCACCTATCTCTGGCCAGAAGCACTTGTGTAGCTACCCACACCTTGCCCCTCACTCACACTCTACCCCCGTCTACCACCATCTTTCCAAGCCTCCCTTCCTTCGATGCCCGTGGAGAGCAGCTGCCTGACCTGAGGCTGGTGACTCCTCTGGGGTACCCAGGTGCCACGCTGTGAGGGCAAATCTTGACTGTCCTAGAGAAGTTCTCAGTGAAACTTTCATGTTCTCCTTTTATTCTTTCTTACCCTCTAGCTTTGCTTACCATAAATAGAATGACATCAGATGAGCAATCTCATGCTTAACTTTCATATCTGTGGTTTTGTTGTACCCCTAAATTTAAGCTTTCATGTAAAGCAATAATAAAAATGGTTCCATTTCATCAGATTGTTGAAAAAATCCTTCATAACAGGCATCAGAGAAAAACTGCAACCTGAAACTGCAGAAAATGTCACAACTGTGCAAGCATGAGGAAACAATATATCTTCCTCTCTGGGTTGTTAACTCTGAAGCCTAGTGATATGGTAAAGATCAGTACTTGAATAGAGTTTTCACTGACTCCACGCAAATAAACAAGCAGAGACAAACATTCCTGTGCCAAGGAGGTTTAATAGCAGCTAATATACAGCATTCTGCACATTCCAGCATAAAACTTCCCTAGAATATTTGGGATACCTAACACTCACACATTCCAAATGTTGCTCAAAGTGGTTTGGGACTCTGGGACACCACTTCCAACATAAGCTATGAGAGGCAGGGCTGAGAAAGCCTTGCCCGTCACACTGCCTGCGACAGGTGTAGGATTTATATAACATGCAGGGATTAGTGAGCTTTGCAAAAGACTTCCAGCTGGCTGAATAAGCACATTTCTCAGGAACCCCTAAGGATTCAACCAATTATACCAAACGGCAAGCTGTAGAAGCAAGGCTCAAAGTGGGGGTATGGGAGAGCCTCCCCCTCACAGGCTCAGAAAACAAGCCTCCAGTGCAAATGTGCTAAGTCCTGCTGCAGAATCTGAGAAAGCAGAGAGCTAGCATCTGCTAGGGCATCTCACTTAACACCCTCTTCTGAAACACGTTTGTTGCCAGCTCAGGGGGAACACCACTACTGCCAACTTCCATACAAAACAACAGGATTTCTCACCTGACCCCAAGCAGGCTACAATACATTTTTAAAATATATCTTTATTTGGAGGAATGTTTTCCTTTGTCATCTCCACCGTCCGTTTTTCAACCATCTGAGCAGAGAATTCTTTCCTTCCCTTAGGATGCCTGAAACAGTGGCACAGCCTTCAGAGTGGCACTGAAATAACAGCCTGTGTCCCTTTGGGTTGCAGTCCCCTGGCATGGCAAGTTTGTCTGTAGCACATACCCGATGGCACAACCCACCAGAAATGCTTTCTCTGCTGGAGTCAGGAAGACAGAAAGGGCGACACCTGGGCTTGTTGAGACATGTAGGAAAACATCTTTGCCAACTTATTTCTGTGGAATGGTCCAGTCTGTTGCCCTACATTGGCTGGAAGGACACATACATACACAGGTATGGACAAACTTTGGTCTAAGCAAGCTCTATTGAGCTCAGCTGCTAGCTTTTAATTTTAGAAAGACTTTGGGAGATGCCTGAATTTCCCAATTTAGATTGCCTTCTGTAACTTGAATGAACATGTGATTCTGACAATGTAAGACTGGGGTACCTACTGAGATCCACAGAGGTAACCTGACTTTGGATCAGGCTGAGAGCAGGATTTAGACCTGGTCAGTTGCCGTATATGTGCGATGTTTTGTGATGGGCACTTGTTTCACTATTTTCTGTTGATCAAGACTGACTAATATAGGACGCAAACAGCTCAAAAACCAAACATTTGCATCGCTTTCTGAGATGTACTTGTATCTCTGAAACCTGAGACCTCTAGATATTTGCCAGAAGAAAGAAATCTGAGAAGGAATCTAATTGTTCACTTGGAATGGGGGTATATGAGAGAATAAAATAAACATAGTATCTAAGAAAACAATATCGTTAATCATGGAAAATTAAGAGAAAACCACAGACCAGGAATAGTGATTAACAAAAAAAAAAGTGGAATCCATAAACAGAGAAGGAGGGTATGATTCAGGATCATTGGTGCTGTCTTTCAGATCTGGGGCTCTATAACATTCAGAGCCTCAGTTTCTTAGTACTGAGTTTAGAATTGAGCATTTAGGATGTGCACAATTACAAAATTACAGGATTTGCTGAAACAACTGTAGAGAGGAGTATTTAAGAATATGCAGTTTGACAGCTTTTTGGCATTGATTTATCCACAATAGCCTACCAAAGAGAATTAAAATTTTCTGAATGTGTTCCTTCCAGCGAACTGGGACATTTTACAACAGATCAGATTTCTCTGGTGCCGAAAACATGCCACTGAGTCAGCAGCTGTGCTGACAGAGGTATGCAGAAACCTTTCCTGCTTCTGCACCAGCTTTGTTTTTATGTTACACAGTGACTGCAGAACAGGCATGGAGAGGCACAGACTACTGGAGATAAAATATTCATGCTAGCTTGAAGGGTTATAGAAGGATTATAATATACTTTTAACTTCCATACAAAGACAGATGAAATCGTGTTGCGGCTTATCATGAATCAGACTGCAGCCTCTTCAAGCGAAGCCTGGCTTTTATTATACATATGTGTTCTGCCTAACAACTGAGCTGCAGTCACAGCTAACAAACAGTATCAGCAAAAGCACAGTTAGGACATCCTTAGAATGCAGCTGACTCTCCTCAGAGATACCCTGATCTGAATAGGTGCTTTAAACAACTTCACTAATGCACAAATCTTTTTTTGCCTTCTGCTACTGGCCAAATATTGACTAAATAACTCAGTCTTTACTGCATTTGAAGTGTCTGGTACACGCAACGAGACACTGTGACAGTTTTATGAGAGTATGAATATACACACTTCTAGCACTCAGCTAAGCTCTCTAGGGACACTTTCATCCATTCCCATCTTCTCTCCTACATGTAACCAAGGCTGGAAATCAACTCAGCATCCCACCCGTCAATCTCACATTAGTCCCCTCACCAAAGCATTGAGACACGTGGTTGCTTCTTAACTATTCCCTCACCAAATCTCACACATCTACCAGCCATCAGCTCATATAAACAGAATTAAATGCGGAAATAGCCACTTATGACCACAGCTAACAGGTAACAAGCAAAAACTCAAGTCAAAGAAGCAGCAAAGAGGCAGGCTGGTAGGTAGGTCACTCTGGGAGTGAGGGCTAGAGAAGGAATTTGAGACAGGAGGTATAATGACTAGTCTGCATTGCCTCAGCAACTGCCTCTTATAGGCTGGAACAGCAATTGCACAAAAGCCTTATGAAATTCACATGGAAACAGTGCATCCTTGGGCCTCTTCTTTAAAAGATGGCTGTGAACACATTGATGGGCATTACAGAAGATTCAACAGGCTCTGAATCATCAGTTCAGAAAGAAGCATTTCAGAATATGGAGCCTGCACCTCTCTGCTTCCCTGACACTGGTTAATTACCACCATTCCTCAAGGTTCAGGTCTCCAACAAATCAGCTCTGTGACACTATTTAATCCTAGCGACCTGCTGACAGCACTGCATTCAGAACATGCCAGCATTTCAGAGGCGTGCTCCAGAAAGCCTTTATGAAATGCTTTAAATCTATTTGAGAATAACTTCATTTTATATTATGTTTTATCTCAATAATACATTGAAAGCCTCAAGATTTTCTTGCCAAGAAAGACAATGTGAGGACATCGGATACTTACCGCTTCCATTAGCCCTTTTACTGTGGGTGATTTCAGCATCAAAGCATCAAACACCTCATCTGTCTCCTTCCTCACATACAAAAGCACTGAAACAGAAAAAAAGTCAAACTTGGAGCAGGTTCAGTCAATTGAACAGATGAAACACCCCACACTGAGCAGAAAAACAAATATTAATCCATGACAGATAAAATGAAGTACTGAAGATGGTTTTCTCTTAAAAAAAAAAAAAAAGTACTCTCATATCATCAGTGATTTAAACATGGAAGACACATCATAGTTGCTTTGAAAACACAAAACCAAAATTCAGCAAATTTAACTTAACGTGATTAATCTACATCTTCAAGAATTTAAACCTCCATTTACTGAAATAAGAGAAGCTGAAAACACTGGGGCCCTGTCCCTGGGTCATAGGACAAAACACACAAGCTACGTCTTCCTAAACCTGTGTCTTGGCTTGCACCTCTCCGGGCTTCATCCAAAAGGTTGGGAAAGAACATTCAGAAAAGGCAAGTCTGCTCTGCCTTTAGCTGAGCCTTTGAGAGCAAAATCAACAAAAAGGAAAAGAAATACTTCTCTCTCACATTACCACGTGGATGCCTGTAAATGGACCTGGCCAGCCTGAAAATAAACACTGGAAACAATGAGTCCAAAGTCATTTGAGACTTTACAAGGGAGACATTCAAAAGCACAGCTGGCAGGCAGGCATTTACCTGCGTGCCCACCCCTGCTCAGGTACCCAAATGCTGTTTGTACTCCTGAAAATCTCCTCTTCCTCCCTCAGATGTCCTGCTGGGTCTTACTGCTTCACAGGTACCGTGCCCTGCCCTCTCTAGCTCTTGTTCTCCCCTCTCCAAGTCGTACAGGTAGAAGGAGGAAACTTGCTGTTAAATGGCAAAAGCAAAGCAGACAGCTAAAAAGCGAATAAACATAAACACTAGAGAAGTGTTTTACGTGTAATCTCACATGACTCTGATAAAGCAACAGGTTAAGTAAGATGTTCTACAATTTATTTTGTTCCCTAAATTAACTGCCTTTTCAAATAGCAATGCTGCACGTTAGGAACAAATACACATGCACTGTCAGGCATTTTATGTCTGTGTGACAAACCACATTGGTAATCATCATTTATTTTTTTTTGGTAGACAGAAAAAGGTATCTTTTGAAACTGCTAATCCTTGTGATCCCAAAGGTATCTCCACCAGGTAACTCGATAGATGACTCAGATGAACCAGAAATGATGGTATTTTTCATACAGAAGCAATTGTTTGGAAGCTAATTCTCCAGTCAAGACTGTAGCAGGATGGACTCAAGCCCATTTGCAGAGAATTGTAGTGTCATGGTTTAAGCCCAGCCAGCAACTAAGCCCCACACAGCCGCTCGCTCACTCCCCCGCCCCCGGTGGGATGGGGGAGAGAATTGGAAGGGTGAAAGTGAGAAAATTCACGGGTTGAGATAAGAACAGTTTAATAGGTAAAGCAAAAGCTGCACACGCAAGCAAAGCAAAACAAGGAATTCATTCACTGCTTCGGCAGGCACCCAGTGGCAGGCAGGTGTTCAGCCATCCCCAGGAAAGCAGGGCTCCATTATGCGTAATGGTTATAAGACAAACGCCATCACTCTGAACGTTCCCCTCCCCTTCTTCTTCCCCCAGTTTATATACTGAGCGTGACGCCATACGGTATGGAGTAGCCCTTTGGCCAGTCTGGGTCAGCCCCCCTGGCTGTGCCCCCTCCCAGCTTCTTGTGCACCGGGCAGAGCAGGGGAAGCTGAAAAGTCCTTGACTGGTGTAAGCACTACTTAGCAACAGCCAAAACATCAGCATGTTATCAACATTATTCTCATCCTAAATCCAAAACACAGCACTATACCAGCTACTAAGTAGAAAATCAACACTATCCCAGCTGAAACGAGGACATGTAGCTTCTTTGCCCAAGGTTTGAAATGACTGAAAAAAAGATTTAAAACATGGGCAGATCAGTCCCGCATCTTGGTCTACAAACCAGACACGCAGGACAATGGTTGGTTTTTTTAAATTCAGAAGCATGAGCCACAAAACTGCTACCACAGGCACGCGGAGCCACATCGTTTTCACCTGCGTCTCGGTAATTCTTTGGGACCTGCCTGAGAGTGTCCTTTTAAAGGACTTAGAAGCTGAGACAACTTCGGGTAACAACCTAAATAACTGTCAGAATGTAAGAGAACAAAAAAAAAATCCACATCACTAGTTATATTTTATTGGGTCTGATACATTTACTCGCATGAACAAGCACTCGCTCAAAGTGCTCATTTTACCTGTACTAACACTTTTATTAATTCAGTAATTCTTTTCTTGTGACTAGAGGGCTGTCCTGTAACTCATGGCTTTTCAAACATCTGGACTTCTGCCAGCCTTAATAATTACAAATGTATCTGAAAGGAGCAAAAAAATCACTCGGTCCAATGTTAAAGTGGGGGGCATCATACAATCCAAGTGCTGAGCTTTAAATCTGTTGTGCTTGGCGTGTCAGGCAACGTTACACTGAATGAAGAATCCATTACAAAGATAAGGGGGAACTTGAATCACTATTATACACACAGAGTGCCAGGATTAGTAAACATATGGGGAATTGTTGGTTTCTTCTTTACCCCGACAGGTGTGAAAATCCCAGCTTTGATTCACTAGGGCACCTTTCTATAAATGACTTCTGGTGACAGTGATGCCTTAAGAAGTCCCTGTCTCATCCTTGCCCTTATGCTCTGTTACTCCAGCCCATCTCAATGAATTTTCCTGGATGATGAACCCTCTCAAACAACAGATGTGAGTGAAAAAAGGAGAAGGCTGGCTGGCCCACAGCAGGAGGGACAGCCAGGGCGGAGGGAAAGGGGCTGCAAAGGCTCCATGGGCTCAGCAGCATTGCCACTGAATGCCAAGCCATGACTGTGATGATGTGACACACTTGTACTTATGCCCTCTGATCCTACTGTCACCATGTTCGTGGCATCTGGATGGGCTCACTTTAATTGTACACATCGCAATATTTTGGGGGGGGGGGGGGTAAATCTTGTACCAGGCAATGAGCTATTTTTGACTGAAAGTTAGAAGATAAATTCAAGTTTGTCTGACCTCTACACTACCTGGCTTCAGTTCTTAACCTTCTTACCAGAACTAAAAAACACTGTAGACCCTAATGTTCTTTAGATGTTAAAAAGAATTGCACAAGATGGGGGTGATAAATTTATCTTTAGTTACTTAAGAAATAGCCCTGATTGGCACAATTGCAGAGGGGCAACCAGCCTTTGCTGAAGGCAAGGGAGGTTAGTGCACCTGGGAGATTTTTGGAAGCCAGGCCACTGAACTGAGGATTTAAGTGTGAATGCAGAAGAACGATGTTAGATACCTCTTTTAGAAATGTTAACAGCTTGGCTCTCCATTGGCAAATCTGCCAAGGCAGAAAACAAGCAACAGACATGCAGCAAAAATCAAACTAAAGACATGATTTGTCTTGTAAGACTTGGGCCACTACAAAGGTCTGAGCCCAGGCATTACCAATGCTCCGACTGACACCCTATGAGCAACAGAATCATAGAATCATTTAGGTTGGAAAAGACCTTTAAAATCATCAAGTCCAACCCTTAATCATCAAGTCCAACAATGACTACAGTCTTTGTAAAGTGGTCTCTGGATGGTGATATGGCACATTTCAGTCAAGAGAACTACGGCTGGTACCTGGGACCTGGCTTGCCTTTCCCACATTTGGAGTTTTCCTTAATTGCCCAGGCACAAATTCCCTCAGTGACAGAGCGAATGCTGTCCTCCACAGGGATGGTTCACAAAACCCCGACTGTTATGAATTCAAAGTATTTCAGAGACAACTTGCCTGAGAGACAAAAGCTAGACAAAAATATTACTTTCTTCAAGCTGAGAACTACAGGACTGGAAATCTCCCTGATCTGTAACACAGCTGCTGGATTTATAATTAACAGGAAACTCCCTATGAAATCTGAAAGGGAAAGTGATTTGAAAACTCCTACTGAGAACTCAAAACAGGAAAAGGCCACAAGTCCAGCCAAGTAACTAGCTGCGCTCCACACTTGGTACAGATTAACATACTTTACATTTCTGTGTTGGGCACTTGCACCTCCTTTAGAGGTCAAGGAGATGAAAGGATAATTCACAAAGACGCAGCTACCTGTGTGAGAATATGAACCTTGTTTTACTGATGGTTTGCAAACCCCTTCAGACCTGTTCTCTTGAAGGCTGCCCCTTAATACTTTTGCTTCCACCAGACAGTATTACAATTAGGTCCATCAGGCAGAGGTGAGGCCACACACTGTCACTTCAGTTCTTCAGCTGGGCTTGGACCCCTTGCTGGGTGTTACTTACCTGCACTGCTCTAACGATGATACACCCTGGGATTACATTGCTTGTAATGCATATTTTCACATAACAGACCTGCTCTCTCTCAAACACTACACCAGTGCCTCATCTATGCCTGCTCTCTAGGGGTTATTGATTCTGCTGTACCAAATAAATCTGGGAGAGAAAAGGCTTCTAGTATGGCTAAGCCTGGGAAAAAAGGCAGGACATTTTAATACCCGGTGACTCCTGCGGCAAAGACAGTATTGTCAAATGGGCAGACTCAGCTGAGCTGTGCTCCATCAGCACAATCCCAGATGCAGGATTCCCGATGGCAGGAAGTTCACCAGAGCAACGGCCACGCTGGGAGAGGCTTGACCTCCAGCCAGCACAGTCCAAGTTGCAAGAAACACCGAACAGGAAGGGGATGTGAAGAGAGCATCCTCCAGCTTCTCTGGTTCCATGCTTCTCCTGGATTTAATTATTTAACATAGTTTTGCCAGCAGTTGAAAAACAGTTTTTTTCTTTCAAATCTTCCCCTTGAAATGGTTGCAAGTCCTGGACGATATTAAAACAACTTACCACAGCAAAGGACAGGAATAATCAAAAGCAAACCAATACCTCCTTGCAGGCAACTCTCCAGGCTTCCACCTGGGAAACCCAGGTGAAACTGCAGGAAATGACAGTTCTTTATGTAGCCCTTGTGGCATTCCCCTTCTGCTTGAAGGAGCCCTGATAATGCAAATTTGGTCAAGGCCTTGAGTCAACCAGATGCAAATCTGTGGTCAGTGCTGTCCCCTTCTGCTTGAAGGAGCCCTGATGATGCGAATTTGGGTCAAGGCCTTGAGTTAACCAGATGCAAGTCTGTGGTCAGTGCTGAACTCACATAATTAATTGAAGATTTAATTAAAAGAAGAATATGCTCACATTTATTCCAGGACAATACCGGTCTCCATCCTGTAATGTTGTATGCTTCGCATGGTTGAAGCACAACACCCTAACCAACAGAGAAACTTTGCAAATGCAGGCTCATGGAAAGTTGTTTCTATAAAGCTCAAATGAGTCTTACAAATGGTGCAACTAAGAACAACTGAGCTCACTTCTGTACCTTGTTGCTTTGTTGTCTCACAAACTGATGGGCGAACCTCAAAACATTTGCAAGTTTGAGTTATATAAGTTGGTCAAACTCCTGGAGCCTCCAATAGACTTATATGACAGAACTCATGAGACTGAAGAAATGGCAAATGTTCTCCAGGGTGTCTAACTGTGGCAGTGTAGGAAGTTACCACCTATAGCGCTGCACTGGAAGTGACTGTACACAAAGCAGATTTTGTGGACAAAACCACCATCTGCTCATCCTTACCTTCAGTGCAAAGTTTAACAGCTCTACCTAAGCCATTGTTTCAATGTCACTCAATTTCAGCTTCACTGTAGCAGACTGGAAAACAGCAGTTGGACTGGTATAGCACATGAAACACGACTGTAATAATATTCACTCAGGGCAGTAAAAACAGTTAAGGGAAACAAACTCTTAAACAATTTGGTTAGGTCTGCTGGAAAATGTCTCTCCATGCGTTATATTTCTAATTGGGTAGGAAATTTCTGAGATTTTATTCAGGCTAATCTCACACTGCAGTCAGCAGGAGCTTGCCTGTGTAAGGTCTCTGTATTTGACCCAGTGCATCTGGTGTATTTGCTTGTGATCCCAGTCAGAAGAGAAAAGATGAGCAAAAGTTAAAAACAGACAACCACAGATTTGCTACTGGAACATTTATGAACCATGTAGCTTGGCCAAGGATCAAGAAACTTTCTAGCTTTTTTATGTTTTATATACACTTGTGTCCTGATCCCTTCTTGAGACAGCACAGTCCTTTTTTTTTCTTCTTTTTGGCTTTTAAATCATTACTAGCATTTGTTAAAATGTCTCCTTGTGTACTGGCAGGTGTAATGATCTCTTCTCCCATCCACCCCATGTGCACTAGCATCAAACAACTGACTTGGTCCAAGCCACACCTGCCCTTCCCAGCTTGAGGGCATGAGTCCCACGGCACTATTTTTAACTGCTAAGAATTGACTGTTACCTCTTTTCAGGCCTTCTTCTTTCATTTGTTTCAAAGGGGATGGACCAAACTCCTCCTCCACAGGCCGGAACATCCTTTTGACCAGGACACTGCTACTAGAAAACACACAACAGGGACCATGTCACAGTAAAACTGTGCTCCCAGCAGGAGAGGAGAGAACAGCAGCAGTCGTGACTCACTTTGTACTCTGGCAAAAACCCCACTAGCTACTCAAGCAGCACCAAACCAGAAACTGCAAGGATTTAGCTTTTCATGCTTATCTGAACTCTCCAGGCCTCTCAAATTGCCCAGACTGACTGGCTGGGACAGGTGACAGGAAAATACACTCCAATGTTATGTACTATTTTGAAAACCCCAAAGGCCCTTAACTGTTTAAATATTGAGGGAAGGGGGGTGGGGAGGAAGAAACAGCTAAGTAAGGAGCTGAACCCACATTTACACATTGATTCACCTCCTCTTTGGGGTCAAGGAGACAGCCTCAGGAAACACCAGCAATATTTCATTCTAAAATCCAAGACCATACAAGCCAGCGAGTTCAAAAGGACTAACATGCTGGGCCAGATCCCTCGGCGTAGCTCTGGCAGGACTCAGCATCTCCTTTTACTCTTGGAGGAGAGAACTGAAGCCAGTATGCTTGCTGCAATAAACCCCTTTGTTTCTTGAATTCTACTGCGAGCCTTATGAAGAACATCAGCTTCATAAAAGAAACAAAAAGGGCCTCGTGTTTGCAAGTCAATGTTAGCTGCAGGTGCCCAGCTACTCCCTACCACAGGCCACTTTTTGCAGGCTTACGTGAGTACAGTTGTCTTATTCCAAACTCTCAGATTTGATGGTGCTCACTTGGGATTGAAGCATTTGTATTGAACCTTATGGCTCTTTAAACTGTTTTACTTGGAAATGTAATAAAAAATAGATACAAAAAGCAGCCAGTTCACATGAAGGAAAAGAAAGTTACCATAAAATAAACCTCTCTCTACCAGTTCTACATATTATTCACCTACTGTTAGTGATGGCAGAACATGAGGGAAGGGGGAGAAAGGGGTTCGGTTTTATCTGATTTCGTGTTTTGTGCCTGCTTTCTATGAGTTTGAACTGCTAACTGCAAAGCTTGTGAAACAATAAATGTCTTACCCTTCTCTTTCATCATCTGTATTATAGTAAACCTGGAAGGGTGGAAAAAAAAATAACAATTATTCCCAAAACTCAGACACCTGCTTAACAGAATAACTTCAAAAGGGAGAAAAGACAACAAGTGGTTTGCAGTTTTTCATCTGTTAAAAACCCTTTTCCTTCTATAAAACACAAACATCTCTAGCTCTAATTGTGATCTGGAAAAATTGTGGCTTAGAAAAACTGCTGTTGAATATCATCTAGGGGAAATATATCAAAGCATTTTGACAGACCTCTCCCCTGGTTTATATCATTTTCCCAATTATTTTACGATCCTCTAAATCAGATCACTACTCACCCAAATTACCCCTAATACGATCTAAGCCACAACACTCACAAGCTTTTGTATGTATTTAATACTGTCTGAAAATCTAATTAAACTATAAAGACCAACATTAATCTACAGGCCTAGTGGAAATACAATTATTAATGGTACAGCTGAACTTTCTTGCACAGGCTGTGGGCAGCAGCACGAGTCCAGACTGTTGTTTTGTGTAAATCAGTATAGCTCAGAGTCACTAGGACCAAATTTACAACAGCAGCAAATGCGGCTAACAGTAGCAGGGGAGGTATAAAATCACAGTCTGTTGTCAAAGGCTTTACAGAACAGTCAGCCAAATTCCTCACAATGTGCCTCCAACCGCGGGTGCACCAGCACTCCAGCTGCCGAGTTACTGTGCAAGCGTGGGGCGAAGGCAGGGCACCGGCGCCCAGCGTTCTGCTGGGGCAGAGCAAGGCGCCTCGGGCAGGCTTCCAGCGCTTGTGCTGGCAAGACTCGGAGCACGCTCGGCTCTCAAGGGGAGCCTTCACTTCTGAACCTGTACAATGAAAATAGCTCAGGTGTGTGCGTGCAAAGCTGAGGTCTGCAACTCACTCTGTGACCAGGACCTGAAAGTGGCTACACTTTCATAATAAAACATTCATAAATAATAATTTATTATCATAATATATCATTCTGATATTAAGTAATACACAAAACAATTGAAAAGTTCAAGACAGCAAGAATGCTGATACTGCAAGGATATAGGCAAGGATTGCTGCCTATACAGCAGGAAAAGACAGGGCTGAACACTGCCTAAGAGCTAGCAAACTGGGATATCTTCCAGCTAGTTTAGAAAATTATTTACAGGATTACATATACCAAGGAACGCTTCCACCTTCTCCTGTTTTGAGACAAATCCACATTCTGGTTTGAAAGCCATGAGGACAGAAGGTACCCAGCACTGATATGTGTGTGGGCGTCTTTCCAATTTTGGAGAATAAGTCAGTGACAGCTGTGATTGCAATGTCTGTGCTCTTTGTGCTTTGCTCTACCACAATTATCACTGCTTTAAAATAAATGACAATTCCAACACTCAGTGTCACTTAATTACTTTAATATTTCGCAGCAAGATGCATATAAAATTTCCTCATCTACTATTTGTCTTTATAAACACATGCATAAAGGTCCCATTCTACTCCCTGAGATGTTAATAAATAACAGATTCATAATCAAAAAATTGTCAGAGCTGACCCTCCAATTCAGGTTTGCAGTTTCCCAGCAAGCAATAAAGTAGGTCTTAGAAGAGTCAAGTCAGGAAAGACTTCCTCACGCTTAATGGTGATAATGACTCCATGACTTCTGCACTAAGTCAATACTGAATATTAACATTAGCATGATAGATTTGTACTTTGTAGAGTAAAAATATTTTCTTCTAAGGAATTCCCAGATCTCTAGGTGATGCCGACAGAAAACGGGCAGCGGTGTTTAGTGAGCCTACTCTTGACTTCCTCACACGTCTTTGTTTTCAATTATCACAGGAGGGGGATCTCTGCTACCACAAGGTGGCACTTCATTTCATCAGCCAAATGGCATATTCAAAACCAGACCTTCTTTCAGTCACAAATCAACCTCCTATCTCAAAATTCTTGACTATTTGTTCCGTTCTTTCTTCCTAGCAGAAGAATGACAAAACCATAACAAACACAAACTAGTCAGTTGTTAACGAACTACAAACTCCTTTTTCGCACCCAGAACTCGGAGAGGCGCTCGTCTCTTGTAAGGTCTTTTTTAAGTGACTCACCAAAAGCTGCATTTACCAAAACAAGAGCTGAAACAAGCGGCCCCCAGGAACAGTGATTTATTTTCCTAGAACCTGCCTTGGAGCACACGTGGCTGGTCGGCAGGTGGGCACCAGCTCGTCTCATTATCATTTCCTACCTGTCCAGTTCTTTGTAGGTTTCCAAAGTGAACATCCGGTATGAAGAGAACTGGCTGGGAATCCAGGTCAGCCATTGTTTTGAAGAAGGTGATATCGCTCTTTTTTTGCAGAGGCAGTGCACTCAACTTCCCTTCAGCTGCTAGGAGGATCACAAAGCAACGTGGTTATGAGAGGAGGCATGCTAAGCGTGACAGCCTCAAACCAGAAAGGCCCGCCTTACTCACAGTTATTACATGAGGCTTGGGATGCCTGGCCTTTGCCTTTCTTCCTGTTCTGCTTCCTCTCTTCGTCTCGGATTTTCCTTTCTGCTCCCTGATGCAAAAAAGACAATCCACAAATATTATCCAAAGAGGAACCACTGTGAGCATCGTACCCTGTGATGCCTGGAACTACAGCAACGGACACATCAGAAATGCTGAAACTGAGACTGGTTATCACATTACAGATAAATCTGTGCAGATCGTTGGGAACGTGTCAGCTTTGGATTGATCACCTGTGCCCAAACTCAGGCTGGCACATCCAGCAGCCCCCAGGGCGGGAGGCAGCAAGAGAAACATATCCACACGCTGGCTTGGAGGAGATGGGATGGACGGCTCAGGCAGTCTTCAGTCTGTAGCAGGGCTGTTGCCACCACAACTTGTGCAAAGGGCATCCCGAGCTCAGCGCCTCTGCGATGGATGGAGTGCTCAGGCCAAATATTTTGCGTATGTACTGACGTAAAACACCTGTAGGATTGCTATCATCTTAGATCATGTCTGTGCTAAGCTCTTCCCTAAACCCTCCTTCACCCACCTTGTCTGGGGGTGGCATTGCTCCACTGTGGCCAGCTTTGTAGAAGCCTTTGAGATTTGCCAGTGCAAGAAGGCTACGCTGACAGCTTGCCAACAGCGCAAGGGCTCTTACAGAAAAATACAGGCATTTCAAACAGGGAGAAGCCCTCCAGAAACTGGAAAGCAATGTAGCACTGCCCTATTAGGCCTCAGGAACTCCTGGGAAGTTGCAGGCTTCTGTTATGTAAATACACTCTCAGCAAGTTTAGAAAATAAAACTTGTTATTGACATAAAAAGCAGCAACACCTCCTTTGAAGTTCTCCTAATTTACTTTATAAATGTGAATAGTCATGTTGTGAAGGGTATTAAAGATCCATATGCTCCCAGACAGTCAGCATACAAAATTAAAGATTTTTTCCAAATTAAAATTAGATGTTCCTTTAAAAGAGAAAAGGGGGAGGGAAGAAAGGAAAACCAAAAATATCCACTCAAGATGGCAAAATTCACACATGAGCCAATGAACCAAGCTTGAAAAGAATGCAAGGAAAGATGTACTCCTGGCTGTGATCTATCAATGGATTTCCAGAGGCTGAAAGAGGTAGAAGAAGAAACAGCTCTTTAAAAAACGTGAAGGTGTCTAACAGAAACATTGCCTCCAGACCCAGGTCTCAATCCAGTTGTCACTGACCTCAACCACAGAAGCAAAGGGATTCAGAGTCCTGCCCTTATCAAAACTGTTTCTAGGGGTACATTTGTATCTTTAAAGGCCACCTGTTCTTTAGCAGAAAGGAGCAAAAATACGCCTTACGGCCACTGCCCTGCAGGAGGCACATCCCTGAGAGCCCTGGGCTGCACAAAGCGGCTCCGCCAGGCAACCACAGCCCTACCTAGCACTCAGTGCTGCTGCTCTGCTGCTCGCAGGTAGCTGAATGAACCTTGAAAATCATTTTGTACATGGCAGCAAGCACGAGTTTCCTCTCGGGAAAGCAGAAACTGAGGAGGACTCAGCCTTTTATACACAATATATGTTTTGCTGATTTTTGTTTGATATTCTCTGTAACTATGAACTTGGTAAAGCTTCACAGCTTTGTCTTCATTCATTCACGGCAAGACACCCCCAAGTTCTCTGGGGTGTGGGCAATCTCTGAGCAGGGCAGCCATTCCCACCCACCAGTGCTTATTTGTGCCACAGCCACTTTACAAATGTGGCAACTGCAATACCCACAAAACTACCTACCAGCCCTTCTGAGCCAGGAGCACCCCACATGGCCCAGTGCAGGGGCCAGCCAGGCCTGTACATCATTGCTGTTGGTGCTGAGACAATGGACCACAATAAGATTTTTGCATACCAGAGCGTTTCTGCCAGACAGTTTTCACAGCTGAGCCATCTGACACACATCTAATAAGACTTTGCATATCTCTTCAGGGCAGAAGAAGAAATAATCCTCTCATAGGGTACTACAAATTAGGCTCTGACCGGTCAAATAATTGAATAAGTTTTTCACTTTTTCATTGATGTCTGGACTTTGTATAAATGTAACTTCTGCTACCAAACATTAGCAAAATGCAGCCTATGAATTTCAACTGATTCAAAATATTTTTTTCGCAAGTCTTCAGCTCATTTAAGCTTATGTCTTGCATTCTAGCTCCAGCCTAGCAAAGCCCTTACCATAAGGACCACTCCCATCACCATTATGAAGCTCATGTGTACACCTGTTTCTAGTTCAAGGCCAAAGCATTCCACATCTGGTAGGACAGGCCCATAGACTCCAGCCTTCTTCTCTCTAAAGCTGAAGATTAATAAGCAATTAGAGTTGCTCAATACCCTATAATAATCCATTTTCTCTATGACGATCTGAAGACGAGGGCAGGAACTGCGTGTATTCCAAACAACACATAATTTTTCAGAATAAAGAAAACGGGATTAATTTATTTGATTTTGGAACAATGTTATGGTATTTGCCAAGTCAAATGCTTCTGCTTCTTTTCGGCAAGGCTAATCACATACAGAAAATCAAAATATCTGAATCCGCAGTTCCTTCATACACAGTGGCTAAAGCATCTTGCGATATATAAATATAAATAGGCCTGGTAGCAAGTTTCCCTGACAACCCACTTAAGGAATAAAAATTATATTCCCTTATCATAATGCAGCATCAGTGATCTGCACATGATAAAAAGACTGCAAAGGCAGAGAGAATTAGCACTGAGAAAACAAGATGTGCACTGTGACACTTGCTTTGAAGATTGCCTACTAGAAAACAAACAGGGACAAAAGACTGGAGAATGAATAGGGAGCAAGCACACGATTACAACCTCTGCAGCCTTTATCTCCATACATTTATGTCACAAAGCGCATGTTGGATCTGAGTTGGTGTTGCTCTCTAGTTTATATGTAAATGAATACTAAATTTAAGCAACTGCCTGAGTAAATACTAAACTACATATAATATGTGCCACTTAGCTAAATGCAGTTTTATTTCTTCAGGGATACTCTTTCCACAACAGCTATGCTGTGTTTCAGCTGGAGGACATTAATTTATCAGCAAACATTTTCTTAAAAACTGGACACCTGTACCTGTGATTTATCTCAGTTAACACACCAACACATCTACTGGTCCTAAAGAGGCACCATTGCTTCAGAAAAACCATTTGCAAGAACGCTGTCAAGCACAGAAACATTTTTCCTTCCACGTTTCAAACTAAGATACATTTCAGTACTTAGGCGGGAGGAATTTACTGTGCAGTTCCTCTGATCCAGACGATTGTAATAAATCAGGCACTTTTCTCATCAGCTGCTCTTTGGGGTTGTCAGATTGGGGCGCAACGCTGCCATTCACATTTTTAAAATGTATAACAATTATTATATGTTTGCTGGTTTTTTTAAATGACCCTGTAATACTTCTTTAACTGATCATGGCAAAGAGGTGGGCAATAATTGCCTGAGCTTCAGGGCCTTTCCCAAACAGGCAGCAAACCCTGTCCTTGTCACTAGAGGGCAAGTCACAGACTCGGCAGAGAAACTGAGCCAGGACCCCTCCATTTAGCATCACCTCAAGCGGAGCCAGGGTTCATTTTGGCATCTTGGAAAGATGAGGGTACCCAGCCCCACCAGCTACCTTCCTCTGAGCGCGACGAATCCTCCCAGTGCCACCAGCAAGTGGAAATTCTCCAACCGTTTATTTACTTACAAAAACACCATGACGAACTGACGTTGGTAAAGATATAGCAGCGCAAGTGAGGGGAGAAGCATGCCTCAGTCTCTTTCCAAGCGCCAATTAGCACAAACTGTCATGTGAATTGACCTCCATAATTTGCACTCATTCAACTCATTTTGAGCCCTGCATTAAGTTAAAAAGCTCTGTGTGCGTGTATGCATGTATACGTTTATATTATACAGAGATATATCCCATTATCGATACCCTTGAGCCCTCCAGTTTCCACTTTCAATATAGTTTTGATGTGGATAATGCTTTAATTACCCCTGTGATCTTTTCTTCTACTTTGAGACACTTTTGATTAAAAGACTCAACATCCATTTCCTGCTTTCTAGTCTGGATATCTGAAGTACCAATTAAGCCAATAGATGCAATGAACATGTATTATTCAAAATCTCCACCAGTTGTGTCTTCAGGTCACCCTTGATGAGTTTGTGCTCTGAATTCCCTTCCTTTTTTCAAATAATTCAGGTTTTTCTAATTGCTTTTCAAAAACAGGTAGATGAAAACAACTTGTTACTTTGATATTTACTGAGCTTTTTAACATCCAGCTGTAGCTTCAAATCTCTAAATATTTGACATTCAAAGTTACAATTAAAAGCGTAACATTTTGACTGCAAAAAGACCTCAATGCATACATTTACATTCGTTACTTTCAAAGTTTTTGCTCCACTAACACAACTCACTGATTAGCTCTCAAGATCCCGTTGTCAAGACAGCAACAAGGGAACGAACTGAAAAAGGGGAAGGAGCAGCAGCACAGAGACCTGGAACAGTTGAACTCTTACCCTTCCATTAAAAAGTTAATGCTATGTATTGCCTGGGGCATGGCCTTTTGCCTTTCTATTCCCACCTGTGAGATGGCAAGACTAATTTGGATAAATTTCCGAGTCACTTAAATAGATGTAGGCTCCTGAATCCCTGAACCTTGACTAGAATCCAGGCATCAGCTCCCCCCTGGGAGATCTTTCCAGCAGGGTTAAAGTCATTGGCCGGCAGGTGTTAAACACAACTGAAACGTGGTTGCTCACATCTAAGAACCATCACTGAGATAACATTTCTGAGCAACTGTTTCTACTCAGTGATACATACAGCTAACCATGACACTGTCAGACTCGTTAAGTCATGATCTATGTTTTGGTGCTGAAAAATCTTACCAATTCTCACAAAGGAGTGGGGAAATCCATTGTAAACCACATTTTACAAAAGAAGGAGTGAGCAAAAAAAAAAAAAAGGGGGAAAAAATAGTTACTGAACTACAAAATGGGAATGGCTAATGTATTTTTGCAGTTTACTTTTTATAAGAAAAGCTTAGCAACATAAAAGTCTCACTGAAGCTTCCGAAATAACGGTTTGTAATCAAGCGAGGGAAAAAAAACATCAGCTGCATCATTGGGACTCAGTGTTTTCCACTGCATCATAAAAGAGAGCTTAGCAGGCCTTTCTGAAAGGTGCATTTCTCTATCAGAGACCCCTCCACAAAGTTTACATGTTACCTATCCTGGCTGTTAGAGCCAGAAGGGATACCATCATCAGACTGGCACTTGTGTGAGCCTGTGGTCAGCACTGACCTTCCAAGTAGAGATCTTTACGTTTGTGCTTTCTATGACTTTTTTGATATTCCTGTATCATGACCTATAACGTGCTGCTCTTGAACAGTCCAACTATTGCTCACAAGCTGAGGAATCACGGCCAAAAAGGCTACAAAGCAGTAAAATAATTATATGATAACCTGTTAGATTTATGATATAGATGGCCCAAATTCTACCATGAAACACCTTCCCTTTCTTTAGGGAAA